AAGCAATAGCTTCCACCGTAAAGTATTCAGAAACGTATTTGAATTTTAAGCCTCAGATCTCCACGATATTTATTTGTTTGTTGTTAGGCAAAAAACTAAATAATGGGCCATCTATGCTGTGCCCATCACGGGTATCGAAATCTGATTTTTAAAGTTATATCTTCAGACTTACCCTGAGCCACTGAGGAAGGAAGATTTATTTGTGTTAAACAAATAATTATAGTACGTCAATCATGAGTTACACGTTTATTCTAATTTTTATTAACTATATTTTTTAACATTATTAACTTTACTGACCCTCAATGTATATTTCTTCGATATCTCGGCGGTATGCTTCGGGGATTGCGACATTAACATTCAGAGTTTGATCCCCGCAGTAAATATAGCTTCCTTTTATCTGTTTTTTTTTTTACTATACATGCCTACTGAAGGCAAAGAAATGAATAAAACGTTGAAAGTTCTAGATTCTTCAGCTCAAACTCTTGCAAACTTTAAAGATATAACAATACTTACATGCTTAAAAATCCAAAAAACCTATACAAGTGATCAAGTTTAGCATATTGAGTTAGGAAACTTCGCAGCCACGTGTGCTAATCTGTTCATCCATCATGAACACTAATTTGCATCTTTAATTACCCTATTAACGTCTAAACGATAAAAACATTTAATTTTGTTTGGGCCTACCTGAGCAAAAGTTTGTAGATTTGGTTGAACCTACTTATAAAACAACTTGTAAATCTGTGTAGTTAAAGAAAAAAAGGGCATAATTATATTTTTGATCATCAATAAGATTATAAGCTTAGCATGTCTAGAAAGGCTTAATTTCTCCACTTTAATAACTTTAGATTGTTGGAGCATAATTACAAAATTTAGTGCAGTTGGACATTTGTTATAAATTTAACTGAAGGCATACTTATGATGTTTTTAAAAACTAAAATGCTTAATTAGTAAGTAAAAATTGGAAAGAGTTCTATACTGGAGTGTCACCCTCACATGAAATTGATATGAAATAAGAGAAGAAAAAAAATTCAGGTAAGTTTACTACTTAAACAACACCAATAAAATAAAGGGGGAAAAAACAACAAAAATGAAAGCAATTACAATGTAAGAAGAAATATCCATATATGGGAACGCAACCCTAACAGCTTTAAAAAATTAAAACTTAGACATTTAATAACTCCATTTATTCATACAAACACTAGTACATGATGATATAGAAATATCCGTTCATAAAATAATCAAAAACTCTTAAAACTATAACATTACAAATTTCTTATGGTGAAAATAATATTCATTTGGCTTTAAATGACTGAACTGAAATACAGTGAATATATATATCTACATCACCAAAATCAACCAACTAAACAAAAACATTTTGAATGAGGGAAATAAAAACATCGATTTTTATATACAAAGAAACAGATTATTATTATACAATACAACCCGATGTTATCACTTTTTCTAACTTACAGAATCAAAGTTTTACTAACTTAAAACTGGTGCATATATTATATTTAGAAAATTCTACTATATTTTTTTTCTGAAATAACAGTTACTTGGATAATATGAGAATAATTAATCAATGAAATAATAAAATAAACAAATGAATAACAAGATCCAAATATAAAATATGTTTTAGAACACTATTACAGAGGTAACTGATTCAATATTACATCCTAACTGTAAAGGATCTCAAGTATAATTTTCTCAGACTGAATAGATGGCCAAAAGTCACTGACACATCAAAATAGGTTAGTCTTGTTTGTTTCAAATATTTCAATTAAAATATTTTAAGCCATAAAACAAATACATAGCTCAGTGTAAGGACAACAACAAAACCATCAAGGCTTAATTTCACTGTAATAGGCTTTGGTTATCTTGAGGTTCAGGGTTTTATAATCATGGGTCATGAAAAGTGATGTGATTCCAGTTAGTTAGCATGGAGAGTGATTTAATCAGAAAAAAGTAAATATAAAAGTGGGACAAAATGTAACAAATTGGTGTTAAAAATTAGTATTTCATGGATAACTAATTGTTCCTATAATTTCAGTGGTGCTGGCATTTTTTGAGACACTGCATACTCAATGAGAAAACACAGACATATAAAATAAGTATAATACCATTTAAGAATTCATGATGACATCTAAAATACAATTTGGCTACATCTCTTCCTACTCAAAACTACATACTTCCCTACCTACTTTGGCAATAAGTAGTATTTTAGTTTCAACTATATTTTACACAAAAAATGGCTTTTTTGATTATAAATAGTCTTGAATAATACACCAGAGTAAAAAAACTATAAAAAATCAACAAAATAATATTAAAAATTAAGGCTGACAAATATCTGTTTAAGTATTATTTGATAATGATCTTTCTTAATTTTTAATGGAACAAATACTAAGTTAATTCACTATGACTGATATCAATACTTACTGCATGGAATTTAATAATATTTAATCACAAAGTGAATATAAATAATTAGGTTTGTCTTGGATAAGAGTAATGAACTAAAACTTTTACAAGAAGCATTTACAAGAAGGAAGCCACAAAACAAGTTTTTCTTCATTTAATATAACAGAAAAGCAAGGTCAAGTTGAATTGTTTTGATATATATCATCACAATTGTCCAGTTAATTATATGGTCAGGAAGAAAAAAATATGAGGCTAAACTATGATGAAATAAAAAAAAGGAATAAGAATTCTGTTGTGAAATAGGTTGAAAAAAAGAATGAATGAAAAGCTTTTTCTAGCAACCACAGTAAAAGTAATGTTATAAGAAAGAAAAGTATTTTTCTAACCTCCAAAGTTGTTTTCGAATTGGCAAGTTTTCTGTAGTAATCAAAGTTCAAAATGTATTTCAAGAATGAGTGATTTTTTATAATAATCAAAGTTGAATGTGACTGGAATAATATTTATAGGAATCACAGTTTAACACGATTGGAATGGAAATATTTATTTTAGCAATCAAAATTGAATAGCATAGGAATGAAATTTTTTTAGGGACCATATATGTTAACAAGTGGTTGAAACTGACAAAAAGTCAGAAAGGACAAAAACCTTTTAAAGTACCTCGTACTGTCTAATCTAAATATACATAAACATATCTCTGAAGTTGTTTTCTTAATCAAAAATATCAGTACATCTTTTTTTTAGATGATAAAAATACTTTCTATGTTTCAATGCTTGACACTAACTGTGGCAAATCCTCATATGTACATTCGTTCTTTTTGTTAAAGGCCTGTTTCAATTGGATGAAATAGAGTAACTTTTGTAAAGTGATTCTCCAACATTTGTGCAAGTGTTTCATTTTATAAAAGATATATAAGCTGTCAGAAAACATAATTAAAAGTACTTTTCATTTTTGCTTTTCTAATTATTTGATGTTTTTCATATATGTTTACTGAAATTCCAGTCCATATAGTCCCCTAACAATGAAAGCCTGAAATTTACATCTTACTGCAATGAAAGTTGAGTAATCATAGAATGGAGTTCAACTGAATCAGGTTCAATACCAGTAATAGTTATTCCATATCTTATTGACAAAATCTGTACAATACCTAACTTTATGTATATTTCAGTTTAACTTTAAATACCTGAGCAATTTTAAGTTTATTATTACAGTTAAAGAAATAAACTATTAACATAACTTTGAACCACAATGGAATTATCAATTACATACAACTAAACTATATATATTTATTAAGTATATTTAAGCATATAGTGAGTTAAGTAAGTGTGTAAAATAGGCCATCTGTTTGCCACCTAGTTGAAAAACACAAGCTTTTTATACTAAAGGCAGAGAAGATTAAGTACCAATGGGTAAAAACAGAAAATCTTTGGTACAAGACCAGTAATGAAAATTCCTTACTTTATACAGACTCTTTACACTTTATAATTATAACTCTACAATACAGTATTTTCTAAGATTAATACTAATTACATTATAGTCTTTACAGCTGATAAATATAGAAAGTTTTTTTTTAACATGCAACATCTTTAAGCAAACAGGCCAGTCCCCGAGTTATTTTTTCATTAGAACTACGTTAATCTAAATTTACAAATACCTTGTGCATCATTTTTAGTATTCAAAGTGTGGTTTGTTATACAGATACCTTTACCTGGCAACCACTGACTTTTAAATAATGCCATCTACTAGAAGAAAACTCTAATTACACTGATTACATAATTACATTGATACTTCAGACAATTTAATTTTACAATTTTCAAAACCTATCTAAATAAAAAAAAAAAAACGTAAATCTTTAGTAAATGAAAGGAAACTTTATTTATTTTCATTTAATTATTACACAAAGTAACTACCTTGCATTAAAAAGACCAATAAAGTAATAATAGCTTAAATGTTTTCTGGGCATCTAAAATATCCATCTAAAGCATTTATTTTTAATGATTTTTCTTGAGAATACCCAGATATTTCTAAAAGTTTAAAAGCCTTCAGTTTCAAAATACATCTACTATGTTTTTAGGATCAATGTGGTTCTGTATAAAGATTACTCACAAGAAAACATATTTTCTTTCTAAAGATTTAATAAACCCAGTTTTTGATATAATTATATTCTTTCATTATATCTCTCTCTTAGAAATTAACAATATATATATATATATATTATTTTGAACAACATCAAAAATAATTAAGAAATAATATTTTCATTTTTGCTAATATACAAATAATACTGCCACTTTATACATAAATCTCTGTGAATATGTTTAAAATATTATCTTAAACAAAGAAGGAAGTAATATGATATCAAAGTGGTAACAATATACTCTTATAATTAGATAACCACTTTCTCAGTTACTATTTTATTAAAATTATATAATTCAGTTATCATACATCATAAATTAAATTTACTATGATCTTCAACTGAAAGCAGGGACCATTCCAGTTACAAGCACTAGAGCTAACTTATGTGGTTTTTCTAAGTTGGCATATTAACCTACTACATTTTTTGAAATAAAAATAATGAATATATGGACTAATCATTAATGTCTACTGTATGTACTTCAGGAAGGTTTTAATATAATTTGAATTGTGAATCCTCTCCATTCAAAGCAACAGTATAATGTTTCAAATCACAACTCTGTATGAGGGTGACATAGAATAGACAAGCTATTCTTAATAAGACATGAAATAAAATAAAATATTTATATGGATGGACATACTTTTAAACAACTTCAATGACATTAAAAATTACCACATTAAGAATATGTTTCAAATAACACAAATATATATATTAATCAGTAACAAATGAACAAAACCCTTTCATTGATTCAAATAAACTATTATTATTTTACTTCATATCTAAAATACATAACCTAAAATTTCTTAGTTATTTATAAGTATGCAAAGAACAATGTAAGAACTCAACATCACATCTCATAGCAACAATGTGTGGTTAACATCCAAATAAGGAATTTACATTTAAAATGTTCTCAAAGTGGTGTTTTTTAAAATGGAGAGATCTATCTGACAGTTACAAGTATTTTTTCATGGGACATGAAGAAGTATTTTTTTCCTGTTTTCTGGGCTAATGCATGTTGCTTGCATCACTGCTAATGGTAGACATGTGCAACCTGTACTGGTTTAACGGAGTTCTCTCTGTGGCATGGGACCTCGGTGAAGAATCTCTCTATATTATTGAAGAAAACAGTTCAGCTAACAGGAAAGGAAAGAAGAGAAAAGAAGATATGAATAAGTTACTACTTACCTTCCATACAGCAAAGTTAACAGAACACTGAAACACACTATAAAGTTTCAAAACTATATGGGTACTGTTAATTTATTATGAGACAGTTTTTAAGTAATAAATGAATGTTCCACCAATAGGACAAGACTTAGAACAATTTTCATAGAATTCTTATAGTGTTTGAGAACTGTGTGGTTAAAACTTGTACCGTACAAAATAAAAAAACAAAACAAAATTAAACACAATAACACAGTAGTAAAAAAAAAAAAAAACGAATTTAGGTGCTTCACTAAATACAGATGTATTTATATTTTGGTTCAAATTGTAACTCTTAAATGATTCAAGCTTAACATCATATTATAGTTTTGTTTTTAAAACCATTGTCACAATAGCTTTAATCACAATACAATACTTCACAACTTATAAACAAATACAAATTTTTGAAGTAAAATATATCATTATAAAATACCTTAAGAGAATTAAAAAATACTTTCAATTTCCTTCTGAAATAAACATTTGAACATTATGATATTACAATACTCACTGACATTTCTTATTTACTTAGCTTAAACTTATAACTAAATTACTTATGGATTTGTTTAACCTTTGAATTATGCTATGACTAATTAAAAGCAAAACGAGTGATATAGATCATGATAAACATTTGCTTTTGAGTGTCGAAACCCAACTATCAAATTATTGGAACGACAGAAAATTGTCAGTTATCCAAAAAGAATTTTATATTTTAGATATGGTTTGTTAGGTACTTTTGATTAAATACCTTACTAATCAAGCAATTAGTGGATTATACAAAAGGACTGCTGAAAATTAAAGATAATGTCCTCAACATTCAATTTTGCTATAGCAATATAAATTGTGTCACTAAAAGTATACATCTATATGCAGTTGTTGTTTTTTTCAGAAGAAAAGAAAATCATCTACTCAAGAATGTGAAAAATAAGCTGAAGTATTAAAACTCCTAATGAACACTCCCGAGAGGTGTTTCTTAGAAAAACAAAACTCTACAACTGAAATCCTTACCAATTTTTCACATGTATAGTATAACTGTGACTTTCACAATAGAAATAGTAATAATAATCACACTTCAAAATTCTACAATATTAATTGGGCTTTTTGCAATTTTTGGAAATACTGAAGTGAAGCCATTTCCATGAAGCTCAGTGAAAACAGAAGTAGTTTTGAAAGGAGAAAAACATACAATGAAGTATCTGACCTGTGTAGAGAGAGTTACCTCTCAGAGACTGGTTTGGTCGATTGTGGTCATTGATCCCCCCACAATATTGAGTTGACTGTTGTTTGAGAAGTTATTATCACTGGATCGATTCCACAAGCACATTAAGTGCACCTGAAGGTAAGGAAATAAGGAAGTGATGGTGGAGAAATAAGGACGGCTCACAGTTTTTGTCTTCATGCACACGTACACACATCCATTGCACAAAAAACATTAAAAATATAAAACAAGCATAACACAAACCAAATTTATGTGTGTGTGTGTTTGATTGGATATTTTCTCAAAGCTACACCAGGGTTACCTGAACTAGTTATCTCTTATTTTGATCTGATAGAGTAGAGTAAAAGCAACTTATTAAAAACACCCACCACCACCAGCTCTTGGACTGCTCTAATTTAATAGTGGGATATGTCCTTAAATCTAACAGCACACCCAAAGTTAAAAAGTGCTAAGCATGATCTTGTGAGAATAAAACATGAACTACAGACCCTTAGGTTCATAATCCCACATGCTAACCACCATGACACACCCACAAGATATAGGAAATTAAAGGATAATCGCACACATGAAAATATGTTCTGATTTGAAGTGATGAGGCTAATTTTAGAGGATAAGAAGAAATAGTAGTTAAGTTTTACACATAAAAAACTCTCACACAGAGGTCATCAAGCAAGGTCACAATATCCCAGGAAAAAATCCTTAGATAATGAATTTTGGGAAAACTTTTAAGCATTTAAAATAATATGGAATACTACTCTCCAACTCTGAAATGCTCCCCTACCCCAACCACCAAAATTTGGAAGGCATTTTAAAAGCCAAATGAATAGTATAAATGAATGAAAATAATCATCACAATGAATGTTATAACATTTTATTCTAACTGTATAAATATTGATTTAACTTGATTAACAAAATATTTAAAAGCTTATGACTTGACGGGTATTAATATTGAAAAAAAGGTAAATATATTATTATAATAACTAAGGGAAACATTTTCTATAAATTAGGAAGTGATCAATATTTAATCATACAATTGGATAAGATGAAATTCTGTGGACTATGTAAAAAAAAAACCCAACATACATATCAGATATAAAGATACTCAAAAATGGAATAATTTAATTTACATTACTGGACAATTTTTTTTTCTCAAGAGTATGTTGGGCAGTGTAGACATAGTACAGATTTGGCATAAATGGACTACTACCGACTGTTTTTAAAGTTGGAATATATTTCAGCTTCTATAATGAGGCCTTTTTCAGGTAAAAAGGCACTACACAGTAAACAACTTTGGTCTTTGACCCAAAGAAGGCCTCAGTAAAGAAGGTAAAATGTTACCCCACTCAAGAAATAGGCAGGAGAAGTTCATTTAAGCCAAATCTCTACTAAATTTTATTGGAGAAACCTTTCTCTCACTGAAAGAACTGTTCATATTTAATACACTCCTCAATCATATATACAGGTAAGATACATAACTACAAAATGCTAGTTAAGCATAAAATTACCAACTTAAATTACTACATCAGACACACACAAGAAATTATCGCAGTGAATCGGTTTTCAACTAATATGTTATACACTTATGTACACATCAAAATATTTCTTTAAAAAGGTATTTACATAAAATGAGTGTTTCATTGCTAAAAAGCAATGTTAAAGATAACATGCATCTTTTTTAAAAGAAAAAATGAAATGTAGAGAACTTCAAAACTTCATCATACTGTTTCATAGATGTAACCAAGTAATAACAGACTGTGTGGAATTAATTTCACAGTTGGTGCAATCAATAAGCATTAAGTATAAAACTAGAAAAATATAGCATGAGCAACCAAAAAGTGGAGTACCCCAATAAGACCAGTAACCAAGGGCATAAGCACCGATTACATTTATTACACATGTTAAATCACATATGCACGCACATACACAAAAGAAGGAAGAGACAAACAACATACATGTATAGTTGACTAACTGAATAAGCTATAATGACAATTGGAGTTTAGTTAAAGAACACCGGAAGTTTCCGAGGAAAAAAAAAGTAAGATTATTACAGCATAGAAATGAAGTTGGGGTTATAACAGTTGTGAGAATGTATGTTTCAAAGTACATGAATTCTATATCTAGACTGGTTAAATGTGAGAAGAAGAGTACAATAATAAATAGTTATTATGCAAAATAAATGTGAAAACATTAAACAAATTCACAATTTTGATGGGTAGTGGACTTCAAAGACTTTTATAATGTTCATATTTCTTCATTTATAAGACAATTTCAAAGAAACAGAAACCAGCTTGTACATTAAATTTTTTAGGTCTTAGACTCAAGTATCACTAATTATGAAAGGCTTATTCTCTTTGTCACTCTATTGAAAACACTTTCACACTCCTTTCTGGTAATGCTCAACAATATACATTGTCATTTAGCAACAAAACTATCAACTGATTATTCTTAGGTCAACTATGGTGTTTATGTTGAATGCTCCATATCATGTTGATTTCTTAGAAAGGTTTTTTTATTCTTTATTTTTTTGATAACTTTGCTGATATAACAGCAAGATAGTTTAATTCAGAAGTTTATGACATTGAGTTGTAGCCAAAAGCAAAATAAAATTTACCAAGTAGTGTTTCAGCTAGGCCTTATGTTACATTTGTGTATTAGGCTTAATGCTTAAATTAGACTACAAATAGGCCTATTATTACTAATGTTATAAAGTCAGTGTTTAAAAAGTTTTAAGTGGTGTATAAATGTTAATTAATAAATATCATTTTGATATTTTAACACATATATTACCTACTTGGCCTTAAAACAAAGAAAAATAAATGTTTATTACCACCAAATACATTTTATCCTTTGTAATGTTGAAAGAGTTGAAAATTTTTTGTCGGTGATAGTGGTGAAAAAATGTTAATTAATAAATATTCTTTTGGTATATATTATATTATTATCTACATACAATATCTACTCGGCCTTAAAACATAAAGAAAATAAACATTTATTAGTACCAAATATCTATTTTTCCTTTGTACAGTCAAAGAGTTAAAAATTTGTGTTAGAATGTCTGCACTATGTTTTCTACTTCCTGACCTGGAATACAGTGAAAAGGCTCAAGGGTGCTATTTTAAGTCTCTTTCAGAGTGCAAACATACTTTTGTTCATCATAACATTTCATTTTTCAGTGTAATTTTTACTAAAAATGTGGTGATAAAAGAATTACTTTGAGACTGATGAAATAGGTGAAGAGTAGGTGCATTTTGGAGATACAGACAAATTTGTTTTAGTTAAAATTCTATAATTTTCGTTAATCATTTAAGAATGATTTCGCATCATTTTTGACATGCTTTTATAGTACACACACAAAACACTTATTAATGGCAGATAATTTTTTCAGTTTTACTACTCTGCCATTTCATGGTTTTTACACTCAAATTGACTTCATGCTTGGTAAATCTATTCAAAATAATATTATTTTAACAATACCTTTCCATTGTATGTTAAATGTTATCAAGATGCAAGTTTGGTGGTAATCATTTATGAAAAGCCTAGACAGTTTCATGTAAAATATTTAAAATACATTTTCTCATATAATTTATCTTTGGCCAACTATATGGATTTCTGTTTCAAATTGTTTGTATAATGGTATTCTTTAACTTAAGAGCTGTAGTTATAAAGACAGCTAGCTTTAGATACAAATTTTATTTTTAATTCTCTATAATATTAACAATTTTAAAACATTCTTTTAAATATCTTAATCCCTCCCTTTGCAATTAAATTTCCATATTTTCACGTGACACACTGATATTTAGATCTTTCTTATAATTGTACCTAACTTACACTACTTTAGCATGCACTCTGGTTATAAGGAATAATAAAAACTTCAAATATATTAACTTCACAATATGGGATTACAGAAACATATCTTCAAACAAGAACATTGAAACAGTGTGGTAGACAAAAACTGTTGCATGTTTATTTATAAAATAATATATATATATTTTATTGAGGGGTCAGTTGTCCTACCTAGACTTTCCGTTTTTTATTATTAACCTACTCTAAGGTATGTCATCCAGTTTCTTCATAAGCATTTTCAATGTTACAAGTTTCTAACACACCTAAAGAAAAACCATTCCACAGACTGAGCACCCTTCTATAAAAGTGACAGTGCTTTAGCTGGAGACATGTCAGTGTTTTCCATATTTTGAACTTGTATCCTCTAGTTTTACTTCCCGCAATTTTTCTTTTATGAAAAAGTAACCAGGATGTGTGGACTTCACCTCTCTAATAATCTTAAAACCTCAATCATGTTCCCCTAAACTCTTCTCTTCACCAGTAAAACCATATCAAGAGATTATAAACTATCATAATATGATGATCCTTCCAAATCCAGCATCATCCTGTAGCTCTTCCCTTCCCTGAATTCTCTCCAACAACTCAACATCCTTCTTAAATAAAATGATTAAAACTGAACACAATATTGCAAATGAGGTCTAACCAGCACCTTAAAGAGTAAATCAATGACTTCCGTTGGCTTACACTCAGTATTTCTATGTATACAACCTAATCTGTTGGTCTTATTTCTACCTAATATACATTGTCTTTAGACTTTAGAGACTATGTAATAGTTATGCTAAGATATTTTCTTCCTTGTCAACTTTATTTAGTGTGTCCCCTACAAGGCTATAAGAACTAACTAGCTGATTCGTGATAACCAGTATTAAAGCACAACCTTCTTACTGTTAAAATTAACTCATTCCATATGAGAGAGGTCACTGCACCTAATTTACAACCACCAAAGTAACAATATTAGTCATAACTTTTGATAATGAATGTGTATCTTTATGAAAGTTTGAAGACTATCAGTAAACATTGCAAGTCTTTTGTACAAAAAAAATACAATTCTTTAATTAAGTATTTTACTAAAAATTTTTCCATAAATATATGGATTCAAAGAGTTGACTGTTCTGAGTGCAAAGTGATTTTCATTTCATGATTAAAAATATTTTTCTTCATCAGAAAAACCTCAAATTTCAATTGTGTGATCTCTAAAACCTCCTCAATAAATGTCAAACGTTTATTTCAGAAAAACTTCATATGTTATGTTATTTTCTCTACCATAACCCTATATGGGGTTGGCCAACTGTAAACCTAAATTACCCTTCTGTCTTTCTAGAATGACCGCAAATTGTAATGGGAACCACATTTGTTTATCCTAAATAGCTTAAAGCTTGTAACAGTATACATCTATTTATACTTAATTTTATTGCTTTATTGACTTTTGAACAATGTCTAACGACCACACAAGTTCTAAATCACTCAGTGAATGTGCAACTTATTAATTGTGTCAAATTACATGATGCACGGCACTGTTCACAAGAATACCTGTTTTTTTTATTATTAATATTTTTTCATTATTTTACCTAATCTAACCTAATAATTTTCTAATTTTTCATACTTAATTGTTTTCATAATAATAAATAAAGATTACACATGAAAATCAATAAATATAAATATAGTTCTTAACTAGGTCCTTGTATTTTTTGCTGTCAAATGTAAATGAAACTTACGCCTACTTTTTTCTTCTTTTTATACCAATGATACTGCTACACTAAATTTTTTAGTTGATTAAATAATGCACCTAAGAATACAGAATAACAACACATAAAAAGCAAAATATCCTATGGCTATAAATAATTTTTCTGGCTCTCTAACTATGCAATAAGAGCCGTGAAAACTTCAGCTCAGCTCGCCAATTTGTTTCCTATGGGAATAAAGTTTTGAACTAGAAACAACATACACAATTCTCTGTACAGAAAACAATATAATATAATAAATCATTTGATAGATTAAAACTTTGGCTTTCTATGGTTATAAATAATATAGTGTTAAACGTAGGCAATTTGTGAAAGAGAGGATGTGGCAAGTAGGACCGAGTTTCTAGTTTATGACTCTATAAACAAAAATGATTGAAGGCTATAAAAACTATGTTTTGCCTGAGTAATAACTATGCTAAATTCTGTACTTCTCAGATGGGTAGTAAATAAATTAGAGAAGAGGAGAGACCTAGAGAGCAAATGTCACAACTCTCAAACTAGGGGAAGTTGAGGATTTGTCCTTGTAAAATTAAGAACTTAAAACTTACATAATATTAATATTTGATTTATTAACTATGTTTTGATTCTAAGTTTATTCATATACACTGATAGTAAAGTAGCTTAATTAAATTTTGAATGTAATTCTGTAAAAAGGTTGTGACGGGCAGAAAAGGATACCCATATGGAAAGGGTTAAAATACATTTGCTAAGTGTTAAAAGAGTCCAAATTTATCTCTGCAAAACTTCAACATCTTTAGTAAAATTTGAAATGCCCATTAATTTAATATAATCTGCAAATAATTACCATTACTGATTATTCCATTATATATGTCATTAATGAAAATGAAAAATAGCAAAGGACTTAACACAGAATCTTGAGGTACTTGTAACATTAATCCACCATGATTTTACTAATTTATAATGACTTGTTCTTTTTTATCACCCAACCAATGCTCAATCTATTTAACTAGCTTAATCATACCCCACCATTATGTAACACCTTATCAAAAGTTTTTTAAATGCACTGCATTAATCCTGCTCGGATTAAACATAATATTTTCAAAGAAAGAAAATTCATAAAACATAAACTTCCCATTCTAAAAGCTTTACCTGTGAATTTCTGTAATCATAGTTTCTCTTTATTATTAAATCACTGAACTTAAGATAAACTGAGCAGTAATTACTTGAACATTGTCTAGCTTTCCCTTTAAAAATGGCACAATATTCCCAATGTCCTAGTTCCTCACCACTTTTAATGGATTGCTTACAAATAAGGCTAATGGTCCAAAACTCTGATTTATTATAATTATCATGTTAATATATATATACCAAAAATTAGCATAGTATGATTTGTATGAATGTGCAGATTCTGGGATACTAAAAACAAGAGGAGGAGGCATAATTTTTATTTGATTTTTTCAAGGTTTTGAGAATTTTTCAATTTATCCTAATTTTTTACACACTATTTTGACACCTTTTCCAAATTTCCCAACTTCTGCAGGTTTTCTGGGATTATATTTTATAATTTGACATTATTTTACAATCCAGAATACTTTGGTATAAGTTATCACTAGAATTCTCTAGTAATATATAACTGAAGACGAAAATATACATATACTAGGAAGTGATGCAATTCACTACTAACAAACTCATTTTTGTTGACTAGGTCTGTTTAGAAATAATTTTTCTTATGTTTACCATTTGTTTTTATTTGCACAACTTATTTTTGAACATTTAATATTTTACTTGCTGCACAGTACTGTGTTTATTTCATAACTTATTCATATGCATACAGAACTAGATTACTAAAACATATTTAAAAAACAGCTAACATCAAATTTATTTTCCCCTTCTAAATATTGATAATATTTACTTTCTGTCACACACTTTTTTTTATCTACAGTGATGATTACTGTTCTTTATTCATAGCTGTATTCTGTGTTAATTTAAGAAATTTCTCTCAATATTTAATAGAAGATTACCTTGGTTTTAAAAGAGAATTTGTGCACATATTCCAAAACTATGCCATTTATACAAGATCAAACAAATCTTTCAGAAGCTTTAGAAATGCAGTATAGAGAAATTTAATAGTTTCAGCCACTAAAAATTCAATCACATTATTTTGAAAGCATGTGTTAAAATACAGATATACCAGATGAAAAAAAGCGAAGTACATTTGTTATGGTTAAATACACTTAACTTTTTATATTTAATTATTAGATATATAAAGATTAATAAGTAATAATAGAAACTCACGCTGCATAAGCTGGAACACATTCTCTTCACATCTGAAAATCTTTCCTCACAAAATAGTACCAAGGCATCAGGTATAAGAGCAGCAATAATTAATACAATGCTCAAAATCCAGACTGAAGGTGATGAAAGGATGTTAATGTACACCCAATACAAGTTGTTATCTTGGAATGGCCTACAAAAATAAGACATAAAATCTTTTTTTTAAATATATATTCAGCAAAAAAAGGTCAGAAGAAGACTGAACAAGAGTATAAGCATATTAATTCATTTTATACCAAACTTTTATGTTTAGATAACTCACAGAAAACAAAAGTATTTCATGATCTGCTATTCAAAAAGAAGAAGTATACTACTTTAACTCTTGAATTCCCAAAGGGGTCCATTAGCCTCATAATGTCAGTCCATGACTTTGATGGCTAAAGGATCGTGAATCTATGCTTTGCAGTTAATTTTGAATGTATCTGACTGTTATCAGTGAACCTGAATATCACACTCCCAACAACACAGAGTAACATATCACAGAATAAAGAATACTTATTAACAATATGAAAATTTGCTCTTACAAAGCACTCATCAGAAAGTGCGTCACAAGCCAAATAAAGAATGTGAAAAGGTGAGTGAAAAATGCCCTTGAAAAAATTACTGAATATTTGGAACACCTAGTCAAGTGTGTCTTTAATTACACTACTATTACAGATTTATTTTCATGAGCAGTTTACTGAAGACATTTAAAATTATGACTCTCACATCCACATAAAGCAAAGTAAAAGCATTATTTTTTAACTAAGGGATTGGTTCAATTCATTTTGTAAATGAAATCCATCAAGCTGCTAATGTACAACTATTGAGTAGCTTCTCAAGATGGTTAAATCAACAAAAATGTTGACATTTACTCATTAATTTACTTGAAAAATAATTTAAATAAGCTTAAAAATGTTAAACTGAGCATGTGATATTGCAGAAAATTCACTCGTTTTATGTAAAGAAGTACGTTAAGGAATATAAATAGCAGAATTCCACCAAAGTAAAATTAGTTATTGTCATCACTAAGAAAACTATATACAAGGTACAACATTAGGCATCTGGAAGAATGATTTTTGAATAATAAAATATACTGAAAAGGAACTTGGTGGCAGTAATAATGAATAAAATAAACTGAATTTGGAGAAAGTTCACGTGAGATGGGTACAAATGCCTTGCCTTACAACTGATAAGAAATTAAATGTTTAAACTCTAAAACACCACCAACT